GGTGTGGGCTCCCCCTCCGTGTCAGCCCTCTCCGTGGCGGCCTCTCCGGAGGGGTTGGCGTGGGTGTCGGAGGAATACGGAGAGGCCGTCTCGGTAAATGGCCACCTCCTGCTTGGCACCTGGTTGGAAACCCCGTGAGGGGATTAATGGGTCGCGTCCTTTGGGGTTACTGTCTGCCTCGCCGTCCCTTGTGTTTATCGCCCTTACAGAAACCGGCAGCTAAATTCACAGTGTTGGGATATCAGCGTTAAATGGGTTTTCCTTATAATTTTGTTCTACGTCAACTAAGCTACTTTTTCCCTCCAGTCAGTAAATTTTTAAAGCAAATTCTATAGCAGGATTTTTTTCAGCCAATATGTGGTTCATGTAGTCTGTTATCTCCTGTACTGCCATCATACAGGTGATCGTGCCAGTTGTGATTTGGGAACCGTTCTCCTAGCATTCCTTTTTACATAAGGATGCTTATTTTCTGAAGTATGAGGACTTGCGGTGTTGCCAGAGCTGTGCTGTAGTGCAGGTGTGTTTTGTAAGAACTATAGCTCAGTATGATGGTTGTAGCCTCTCTGCTCAATAAACTAGAAGGCATTCTTTATAATCTTCAGTTTAATGCTTATACAAAATTTTGAGAGCAGAGTGGGAGAGTGCAGTTTCTTATAGAATGGAGCATATAGGGTTTTGAAGTATTTGAAGACAATTTGAAGTGTTGTATTTAAAATGTCAATGCATTTTTTTCATGGAAGATCTGACTTGATCAAAGTTTAATTCCATATGTTTTCACTACCAAGTTTGATTCATCATTGTTAACATAGCAGTTAAATTTAAGAACTGAAGTTGTAACCTGCAGTTGTATTAAAGTTTTGTGCCTTTTTTTTTTTTGTACATATGTACCTGAAACTTGTGCTGTAAGACACTATTTCTTAGGAAAACTAGGGGTGAATTGTAAAAGGTATAGAAAATAACAGAGGTTAATTTACAAACTCAATCATGTTACGGTACAGCAACATAAAGATATTGACTTACCAATCAAGATGTAAGTGCTGTATAGGCTGTTTCAGACCGGTCAAAGCTATATTTTACTTATAGATTAACTTATATAGTATTTGGAATATATATAAAAAAATAAATCCCTTGGTGTGTTTTCTCTTTCACTAATAATGATGAGGAACCATGAATTTTAGTTCAGCAGATTTCGTTATAAAGTAAGTAGTCTGTGACTTTCAAGGATTTTTTTGCTGTTGGCATTCAAGTAGCTCAGAAATTGGAAATGCTTGTGGAACCAGGATATCTTTGATAACTCCTCCACGAGTGTTTGAAATTCAAGTTCACTGATGCAGCTCAGCAAGCGAAGAGTAGGCTTATGGTAGAGCATATGCCATGTGCGTATTTGCATTTATCCATTTGCGAGGATGAAAGTTGTCTGTGTTGTACAGGTGTTGAAGGAGAAAATAAGCTTGAGGTCTGGGCAAAGGAGCAGGACTGGTTAGAGTGAGGGAATAGCTTTGGGAACTTCTGAGGTTGAAATATAAAACAGGAGTTAGAAATGGCCAACATGATGTAAATAGTTCAACACTGGATAAGTGCTTTTCCAGTAGATCCTGGCAAAGTTTAAATGTGACACTTCTGGTGTGACTGTTTAGTAGTGAAATTACTGGTTTGCATCAGCTATTGCAGATTTCAAGGGTAATTTTTAAAACACAAATTTATTTTAAAGAATTTACAATTCATATTAGGATCCAAAAGATTATGTTGGTTTGAAGCTCTTTTTAAATCCCTGTGATAGCAATAAGCCATTTGAGATAAGTCTGTTTTGTGTCCTAGATTGCTTAGCAGAAGGCATTAATAACTTTATTAAGGGTTTCAGAAGACTTGACACAGGCATTTTTAATGGGATAAATACTGCAGGTAATTCGTTCCATTGTGAAAAACTATGTTCCGTCTGAGAAGATGACTTTGAGGGCTGAGTGAAAATGAAGCTTTATAAGAGGTGGAAATCATAACAGCATCTGTTTTTGTAGCTCATAGTATATTCCTAAGAAGGCAAATTAAAGACCTAAGCTACAGAAAAACTAGAAGTGCACATCTGCAGCTATCTGTTAAAATATAAGCCTATTCCATACAAAAGTAAATATAAAAATTATCTGTTATTAACATGTGTAAGTTAGGTTTGTTGTATAGTTTAATAGAGAAGTGCAGAAGGAGAATTTTTTTCTCTGATGTTTAGCTTTTAAACTTCTTTAATACAATACAATTAACATCACACTGCATATTCACATGGAACAATGAAGTAGTGAACCATTTGCCTTTCAGGATGATACCTTTGATGGAAATACTGGGCGTGTGTTACAGTATTTTATAAATAAATCTAGATTTCAAACCAGATAAATATTATTTGTAATTTTAGAAATGTTATAATTACTTTATTTAGCTTTTGTTCCCATTCTCAGGGTGGTGATGACAATGGCAGCTAATTTTTACTAGTGATTGTAAAACTGAGCACGAGAGGACAAGTGAGACTCTCCGAATGAGAATTAAAATAAAATGGACATATCAGATGGAAAAATGTAGGAAAAAACCCCTCTAAAATATTCTAACTAGTGCTAGTATTTCTTAATATAATCAGCAAAGTGAGATCATAAATGTTTTCTTTAACCAAAGGCATGGTCCTGCCAGTTCAATTTAAGTCTTGGTAATCCATAGGTGACTGTTTTCCCATTAGTCTCATTTTAATGTGGTAATATTTATTATAGCAGGGGTATGAAAGATTCGACAAGAAATTATTCTCAAGATTTCACATAGATGGAGATCTTGTTACTCTTGCATGATCCTTTATGTTTCCCATTCTTATTTTTGCTTCGAGATAATGGTGGCTTTCAGTATCTTTCCACATACCATTTTTTTATGATAAATTAATGGATACTGACTGTGATTTTTTGTTTGCATTTTGTATGTTTATTATGAAAGATTACTTACAGTTTCATGAAACAGCTAATTGAAGTGTATTGAAATAAAATATATTTAGACATTAGAACATACTGATATGGTATTCATGCATTGCGAATACCACCCTTGTTATTTTCAGTGTATTTGCATGTTTCAGATGTCAGTGAAAAAGTCGCCTCAACCGTGATGTGTATTTAAATTGGTTTGGCAGGAAACGTGGTTAGAATATTTAAGCGCTAAAAAAATAGCTGAGCACTGGTGCTCTGAATAATACCATGAAAGATATTTCTTAGTTAATTTTTAACTGAAACCTGCATTTTTAAGCCAGGTACCAGCATATGGCTTCTATTTTTACGGTTTGTCAACATATAGAATACAATGGGAGTGCTGATGATTATTTATTATTTAATTCAGGATGTAACAGCACGTTACTGCAGTAGGCAAGAATGGATGAAGGGTACATTTCTAGTTGCTTGCAGAGAAAGGAAGATTCTGGGTCAAAGAGAAAGTAGGGAAGTTGTTTGTAAGTCAGTGTGTTACTTAACTAAACTGGGGAAAAAAAAATCTTTGTCTACATTAGTGACATTTATTTGTGCTAGTTTATCCTGGTAAATCATAGAATCATGAAGCAAAGTGGCTTTTATCTTCAGTATCCCAGCAAGCACGTAAAAAGTAGATATCTGCAATACTTACAAATTCTTAAGTGGATTTCTTTGAAATGTCATTTTTGTGTGCTTAGACTTTAGTGTGTGCCTATTTTAAGATACACATGCAGTTTGATGCAGTTGGATTATTGGTTCTTTATTTTTTAAATAGGACATTTTGGTGCTATTTAGTGTCTTTTTATTGTTTGGTGTGAGCTGAGAAAACTGAATTTATTGTTGTCACATTAATGTTTTGGAGACAGTGATGATGATGAATTTTCTTCCCCTTACTCTGCTGATTTAATTTCACCTGCATTTATTTCAGTTTAAATGTTATGGCTTGAATTTTACCATGCTAGATGCTCTTCAAGTAGGAGCAGTGTTGTTGCCTACAAATATTACAGCTGAACTCTCTTGCAACTCAAGAGTGTATAAATATGAAGACCTGGAAGGTTGTGAATTTTTGTGCTGGTTTTTGCTTCTTACTCTCAAATGTAAAGCAGTACAGAATTTGTTTTTATGTCTGTGTTTTCTTGGATCTCACTTGAAACAGCAGACTATTTGAGCCTGTAATAAAGATAATTTTTTCTTGAGCTACTGTAAGTTGTTAAAAAGCTGTTGTCTAAGCCTCACTGGAAACCCGCCATATTTTAACTCTCTCAAAGTCTTCTGACTAAACAGTTTTCCAGTATTTTAGTTCTTTATTTTAACATCATGTTTCTTCAGTTGGTCAGCATTACCAATTCTTCAGCTAAATAGAGTAGGGCAAGATTTGAGTTTTGAGCAATATAGTATGCAGTCCAAAAATCTACTAAAGAAAGTGGTGTAATTTATTAGTGGGAAAAGGGCAAAACACCAGCCATGTTTTCTGTGTGCCACTTATTTGGGTTAAGTAGTTTCTAAGTTGGTTTTAAGCAAATAACCTTGTCGCCATTGTAACTCAGAGATATTTTTTTTGTTTCTTTTCCCCTAACTGATATGTATTGTTGCACACTTAGAGTATACTCTTAGCAAATTTACGAAGGAAAAATTACAAGTGTATAGCTAAGCTATACTTACTTTGCTAAGAAGTGACAAAAGAGTGGAGTCATCAGGTTTTCACAATCGTTTTCAATAAAGTTTACTATTCTTTCAGCAGACCTCTTGGAAGTGTAAACAATGGAGGACGAGGAAAACCAAGTGCAACTCCCAAATGAAAAGCAGGTGCCGAACTCGGAAAGTGGTTATGTGTGGCATGTCACCGATATGAATCGACTGCAACGTTTCTTGTGTTTTGGTTCAGAAGGTGGTACTTACTACATCAAGGAGCAGAAGCTGGGCTTTGAAAATGCAGAAGCTTTAATAAGACTGATCGAAGAGGGTAGAGGTTGTGAAGTTGTTCAAGAAATAAAGACGTTTAGTCAAGAAGGCAGAGCAGCAAAACAAGAGCCCCTGCTTTTTGCTCTTGCAATTTGCTCACAGTGTTCTGATGCAAAAACTAAACAAGCGGCATTCAAAGCAGTTCCTGAGGTGTGTTGTGTACCAACACATCTCTTTACTTTCATCCAATTTAAAAAAGATCTGAAGGAGGGCATGAAATGCGGCATGTGGGGCCGTGCACTGAGGAAAGCTGTTGCAGATTGGTACAATGAAAAGAATGGAATGGCTGTTGCTTTAGCAGTTACAAAATATAAACAAAGAAGTGGTTGGTCTCATAAAGATCTTCTGAGGTTGTCCCACCTAAAACCTGCCAGTGAAGGTAATAAATTTTTATTTACCAGAAAATACTGTGTTTTGAACCTTTTATATTTACTGTGGAACTGTTTTGGAGACCCAGGTACCATTGTAGACTGATGATTTCTTAGTGATGGTGTTCTGTAAATTGTCTGTGAGTGGTCCTATGAGAAACTGACCTGTTTATCTTCAAGGTAAACAGAGTTTGTTCTTTCTTTTTCTTCCTTATGTCAAGAGAAGATAAAATAACACAATTCCCTCAATTTGTTCCTGTTTGCTTACAAACAATGAAATAACACTTTTTCATTACATGGGAAGATCTATTGGTTTAAAATACATTAGGCTTCTTACTTCTAAGGAGAATAATACAGTGGTTAAACTACTGCTCGAAGTTGTGTGTGGATGACATTTTTTGTAGCTCCTTGGCAAGTCTGAGAATGAAACCTGCTAACTCATTTGCTTGCTAGAGTGATAAATGCCAGTATAAAGACGGTAATCCTGCTTGGAAAATATTTTTCTTTTCAATAGGAATTGCTATAGTCACTAAATATATTACCAAAGGGTGGAAAGATGTCCAAGAGGCTTATAAAGACAAAGCAGTTTCTGCTGAGACTGAAAAACTCTTAAAGTATCTGGAGGCGGTGGAGAAAGTAAAACGTACAAAAGATGAATTGGAAGTTATTCATTTAATAGAAGAATATGGTCTAGTTAGAGAGCATCTCCTGACAAACCATCTGAAATCTAAGGAGGTAGGTAAACTTCATTAGGTTTGTATTCTCTTTAGGGTAATGCTTTTCAGTCTTAAGTCTAGATATTGATAAATAGCCCTTATGCTGTTTTGCAAGTTATCTACCCAAGTAGCTAACTTGAAAGAATGAAGATCTTCATATAACCTGTATGTTCATTTTAAAATACACTTATTTAATGTACAGATGTCAGTTCTTGTAGTTTGGGAATTTCATCTTTTTTTTCCCTTTTCTGATTGTAGGTTTGGAAGGCATTGCTGAAGGAAATGTCTATTTCTGTATTGTTGAGGAATTTGGGGAAGCTGACAGCAAATTCAGTGCTTGAACCACGAGGTTCAGAAGTGGCAACAGTGTGTGAAAGACTAAGAAATGAGAAACTGCTAAAAAAGGTGAGAACTTTTTCATAATCAGTGCCAGCCTTTGTGTTTTTTAATCACTTCCTAAACTATATTTCTTCACGCTACCTCTTTACAAAATGAAAGGGATGTTCTTTGTAGGAAATGTGTGGTTTATTCTTTTTTTTTTAAAAACTACAATGGAATACTTGCATCTTTATTTTAAAGCTTCTATTTATCATTTGTCATTTGATTGTTTTCCTCCTCTATTTCTGAAACTTTTCTACAAATTAAGTAGATTGACAGCTAGGATCTTCTCTAAAATTAGGGCTGTGGCAAGCTTTGCCTGTTGGGTTCATCCATTGCTTCTAAGTCTTGTAATTTAGAATCAGCAATACAAGCTTAAAAAGTGAGTGGAAGTCACTTGTGTAGGATCTTAGGAAGTGAATGAAGAAACTAGCATAGCAGCTGAGAGGAAAAAGAAGATGGAACAATGAGACTTTCTCCTTTCAAATTGCTCTACTATCCATTAAAGAGGTAAGAAAATAAGAGGGGAAAAAAAGGGTTCCCCAAAGGGAGAACAAAATTTCAGGAGTTTAATGGCAGATAGAGAAGACAAGTAGCTTTTTCTAATAGTTTTGTGAGTTGGGGAGATTAAAATCAGGACACTTAACTGCTTCAAGACCATAGTTGAATTGACAACAACAACAGTAGGTGCCTTTTTTTCCCATCCCATGGCTCTTCCCTTTCTCTGCTTTCTGCTTTAATCATACGTAATTACTGACGCACTTGGAGAAGGGGGATCAAAGCTGGTGGCACAGTACCTTGATGGAAGACAGAAAATGGAGGCATTCAGATGCCAGTAGTGAAATTCCCCTTGAGGAAAAAGATAACAAAATGTTGATAAATCAGTAAAGCAAAGATGTGATTTAGAATACTTAGTGTGCAGCAACCACTGATTTGGTTTATGTAGGGAA